TTGTTTATTGCAAGAACTGCACTTTTTAAGCACGTTCGCCTCGGATTCTTCGGGCCAATTGAATGTCCTTGGGCATAATGGTCACTCTCTTGGTGTGGATGGCACACAAGTTGGTATCTTCGAAAAGACCGACCAAATAAGCCTCACTGGCTTCTTGGAGAGCCATGGCAGTTGAGTTCTGGAATCGAAGACCAGTCTTGAAGTTTTGAGCGATTTCTCTCACCAATCGTTGGAAGGGAAGTTTTCGGATCAACAATTCGGTATCTGTGAGGTTTCTTTACACCGCCGGTAGCTGGGGCGCTCTTTCGGGCAGCCTTGGTGGCCAGCTGTTTTCTTGGGGCCTTTTTCTTCTTTTAGCTTCTAATACGTCTGCTCAGCTCGACAGTCAAATAGTAGAATGAACCCAATACCACTCAAACAAACACACACATAAATCCTGGATATTAGTAAAAACAGCAGTAAAATTCCTTTTTGATTTATTTTCAAAGTGTTAAGACAACATTCCTATCTTCGTTCTTTCATCGGAATAAAAGACTTGATAACAGAGAGTATATAAATAGACGCGATTATCAAAATTGATCACACATAAAAACATTGATGTAAATAATTTCTTTTTACTATTTCTAAGATATTTGCAAATTCCAAAGTTAATGTATGAAATCAGACAGACTCCAATGACCTTGGGAATCTGTATAATTTTCCTATTGACTTAACCTGGGCTTGACCTTGCTGGCCCCATCACATGACAAAATTTTACACTACTTTTCATTAGGCCCGGTATATGGATAATCAATTGTTCACCTTTGACCTTTTATTACCATATTTGGAAGTTACCACTGACTTTTGCTGGCACAATGACATCATTTTTTTACTTTTCAATATGGCGACCAGCTATCTGGAATTTTGGAATACAGCTTCGATATTTCTTTATATCATAAGACATGTTTATCGAAAGGTAAGAAAACATTTCTAAATCCTATGAATTGTTAAAGTATTAAACGAATTCATTTCTAACAATTCGATTATCC